CATGGCAGAAACATAACATCCCCTTACTATCAACTAGTCTCCTTTCACCTGCCTTACACCCCCTAGTGTGGTGAATTGCAACACCAGGTGGTAGGTCGATAGGATTGCTCAAAAGGCATTGATGGATGGTCGACCAATAATCACATTGTAGGAAAAGAGGGAGTCATGATGAGGAAGTTGACCATGATGGTGGATTATCGTTGGGGTTCCTAGGCATTGATCGGGAGGAGAATAGATCCTAGTGGGAAAGCTTTTTCACCCGAGAAGCCAATGAGTGAGGAGGTAATGTCCATCAATTTTTCCTTTTCGATGTCAAGTTGTTTGAACACATCTAGGTATAGAACATCTTTCGAACTCTCACTATCGACAAGGAATCTCTGGACTGTGACGTTAGCTATGGTGAAGGACACCACCATGGGGTCATCATGGGGGGATTTGAATGCCATCAAGGTCTTGTTCATAAAAAGAGAGTGGTTCTTCTTTTGTCTTGAGATACTTTGGGGGCTGATCTGTCATTTGGATCCCACACACTTCGAAAGACGTTCGAGCTCGGCGAGTGTGGCTTTTTTGACTGGAGGACGATTCCCCTCCTCTAGCGAATCTTCACATAATGACTCAGATTTTGCCTACGGGCTCTTGGTGTGCTTGGTTCTCAATGTTGAATAGTTTCTCCTCACCGGCCTTTTATTTGTCCTTACAATCTTTTGAGATGAATCGAGATAGCTTTCATCTTTGGATTAGGAACTCGATCTGATCTTTTAGGTCTCTACATTCCTTAGTGGTATGGCCATGATCTTGGTGGAAAGAACAATATTTCTCTTGATATCTTTTCTCCGCGGGTGATCTCATTTTTCCCAGTCATTTGAGAATCTGATCATTCTTCACTTGTAAAAGCATATGTTCTAACGAGGTATTCAGGGGAGTGTATTTGTCAAACCGAGAGGTTGGTGATTGGTCCTCCTACTTTATGGGCTTTCCCGTCTTCTTATTTTTTGCTTTTGGTTGCACATTCATCTTGGTTTGTTCGGCCCTTCTTTTCTCGAGTTGGTTGACCAAGAATGACTCTTGTTAGGCGTTGTTGGTATCTTCTACGTTCATGTGTTTCTGAGTCGTCCTCAGAAGATTTGTCATCAAGGTTGGGTGACTTTGACAAAGAGTAAAGAAAGGTGGGGGTGTTAACCCCTCCTTTCCATGAAAGTAGTGAGAGATACTCGGTAATCCTGGTTCTCCACCTGCAAGGCCTCATTCATGAATCGAGTGACATATTTCCTAAGATATTCATCTTTTTGTTGTTTGATATTTAGTAGGGGTGCAACTTGGATGAGAACCCAACTTGAAAAAACAATGTTAGGATTAAGGTTTTTAAGGTTAGGGTTAGGGTTGAAAAGTTTCAACCCGAATTGAATTCGGGTAAGGCTCAGGTTAAGAGCTCGGCCAACTCAAAAGGTTGAAATTGGGCTCAACCTGAATCCAACCCGATTTTAATTCGAATTCATGTATTATATTTAAATAAATAATATAAAAAATAAAAATAAAATATAAATACATATGTTATAATTATTATTATTTAAAGAAGCTCACCTTTACACCTTTACATAAGTTGTCTTGATGAGCTTCATCTTAGTGGGCTATGTAAGCCAATGTAATAGTCCAACATTGTGCAAATGCCCACACCTAATTTAGGATTACTGTTTGTTGAGCTTGAATTGCCAACCCAAATTAGGTAACCTGAGCTTGCCCAAAATCAAATGGGCAGTGCTCAGGTTAAAGTCGGGATAGGGTTAGGGCTAGGTTTAGGTTTAGGGTTAAAAATTTTATACATAAAGTTGGGCTAAGGTTGCACCCTCAACTGCCCAACCCTCCCAAGTTGCATCTTTAATATTTAGTAGGAAAGTAGCTGATTTTTGGTGCTTTTGGCCTTCTACAAAGTACGACACAAAAAGACTGGCTTAACTGGGAGATGGTTGATATTGTGGTCATCCCTAGTNTCCAACCCTCCCAAGTTGCATCTTTAATATTTAGTAGGAAAGTAGCTGATTTTTGGTGCTTTTGGCCTTCTACAAAGGACGACACAAAAAGACTGGCTTAACTGGGAGATGGTTGATATTGTGGTCATCCCTAGTTTGCTAAACTACGTGCGAGCATTCCGTGTCAGGGTAGTTGGGAATGTTTGCCACATTATTTTCATCTAAGAATGCATGAAGCGTTAGGAGGTCTATCCGGGGCATCCAAAAACCTGCTGGTAGTGGGCATGCCATTAGTGCGAAAATGAACGAAGTCCCTTCCTTCTTAGTGGTTGGTTCAACTTTGTTATTCAAGGCATATTTGAGATCTCCCAACTGAGCGTGAAAATCTCTCATCTAGTCTCCCCAGCCAAGAGAATTGTTCGCAACTTCTTCCTGGTCTCAGGTGCACTAGAGTTGTCGATTGTCATTCTGGTCTTGCTGTGTCCTTTTGTTTTGAGGAGGGACAGATGAGTCATGGTTAATGTTGTTTCGTGCTGAACTAGCCAGCCTCGGATTGTTGAGAGGATTTAATGGAGCGGTTGCTTGTTGTTGTTGGAGAACTGTTTTTGAGGGCCTTCGCCATTTGTCAGACTTGTTCACCCAATGTGGTGACCTCGCCTTATATATGTTCAACAAACGCTCGATTGCTTGGTTGATTTTCGGAAAGGATTAGCAACTTCAACATCCTTGCTAGTTTAGACATTCTTGCTTTAACCCTTGGGAGGAACCATGATCAAGTGTTTTTGAGAGAGGGATAGGAACTTTGCTTTTCCCATATACAAAGCTAACTGATGGATTGTATTAGTAACTTTGTCTTGGATACAGACGACAATGGAGCTTAGATTAGTGCTCTTGCTCGGACATTGATTCTCAAAGAATGGTACTTAGAATATATGTGAGCCTCCACGTCTTTCTTGTTGAGAGATTGGGAAACCTGTCAAAGAGAATTTGGAGAGTAGGAAACCGGTGTGGTCCCAGCTAAACCACCTCTGGTACTTAAGTTAGTGAATTGGTTTTTGCAAGATAAAACGTTAAAGTGAAAATACTGGGATTTTCTCCCTCTTTTGTTTGGTTCTTTTAATGTGGTTAGTCTGCCTTTAAACCCTTATTAATTAGGGTTTATATAGGTGAACTTGAGTGTTTGAGTTGTTAAAAGGGATCATCCATAACTTTAAGCATGGACTGTTGAGTGTAGCATAAGTTAGCCTGCATGTGACTCTCGACATGTGGCGTGTGTCAGTGGCTATTCTGAGTCTAGCAAGTACTGTTAGTAGGGGCGGAGCTAGAAATTATTCATAGTGGGGGTAACATAGAACTATTTCAATATTATTTTTCTTTTAAAAAATTTACGTATAATTAATTCAAAATCAATATATTTTGTTTGAATCAAACTCCATAATTTTTTTTTTCTTTTTGAACATAAACTCAATAATTTATTTTTGATTTTTTGACAAACAGCTTATTAGGGCTAGAAGTACTCATTTAATAGTCAAACTTAATAGAAATAATTTAGAAAAACTCTATTTGTCACAACTTTATTACAACTTAGATATAAGAATACTTTGATTGATTACAAATAAATTGTTAAAGTCCAATTGTTCAAATAATTTAATTAAAAATATAATTTATAATAGACAGATTCTAATTTATAGTACAATTAAATTAAAAATAATTTGAATCTTAATTTATAATTCTTGCATTCTAATTTCAATTTCTAATATTATGATTTCTAAGTTCAAACCCCAATTTATTACGATTTCAAATATCAAGATCCAATTTCAATTCATATTAACAAAAATATAGAGGGGAAGAGACAAAAAGAAGCTAAAAAATAGAGTACTAACCAAAAAAACCTCATCGTAACAATTTTAATTTAAGTCATATGAGGAAAGTGTAGACAGTGTAAGTCTAATTTTATTTTTTTATGAAAGAATACCACCTATCTAAAATATAAACTAGAAATAGTAATATATATATATATATTTAGAAACTTAATTTAAAAATTTAATTCATTATTATCATTGGATTAACACATATTGGATCCCGTTAAATATTGAGATCCACTAATAATCGAATGATAACAATAATTTAACTTTTTAAATTAGGTCTCATTAGTGTTAATCTGATAAACTTAATTTTTTTATAAAATTTTTAGTGAGGACAAATTTCAATTTTTTTTAAAATTTTTTTATGATATTTCAAATAATACCCAAAATTTTTCAATATTTCCATGGGGGCAACTGCCCCATACTGAATCCGGTTTTGACTGTCAGATAGGGAATGCCATGTGAGCGTTCATCCTTGAGAATGGTGTGTATATGGTTGTTGACGTGACCTCTCGAGATCCGATAACCGACATTTAAATTCAGAGATCGGAATAATTATTCATCAATATCCATTCCGTTCTAACAATGATGAAGGAGAGTAGAGTTTTGAAGTGTTTTTGGCCCGGTATAAACAATATGAGAAATCGAGATCGAAGAAGTAGTAGGTAGGCAGGCTATCCAATGAATTCATTCGGCAGTGGATTTAGATAATGCTTATCTGCCATATTCTTCTTTTGTTTCCTTAATCAAACGACAGCCCATACCCATGTTAAGTACATATTTTGGATTCCTATAATTATAGGTAGCTTAGGGTCATAAAATTCTAATTGTTGCTTGCTTAGGGACCTAAAAGCCATTTGAACTTGTTATCCTTTGGTTCACCTGTGAATCTCAAACTCAAATTGAATCTAGTTTTATTGCTCTGTACACAAGCATTTTTATTTTGCTTACCATTTAGCAGACACCACTTACTAAGTGGGATAAAATGATTGGAAATTTGTTACATAAAGCCATGTTTTTTTTGTAAAGGTAGATTAAGCCTTGTTACGTACTCTCGCGTAAAAATTCAATTTTCATAATGCTACCATATTTTCTTGATCATTACTATGTCGTTTTAATATTGCAATGGGTGAAGAAGCATTCAGCGGCAGTAGAAACCAACTTTACTCATCATCCACTTACACGACTATACAGCCTAAAATATCCATCTCTCTCCCTCCTCAATCCAAAAAACACATTGCGATTGTTTCTCTCTCCCACTTACTCTTCACACGCAGATCTAGGCCTTCGATATATTCGTTGCGCATTTTCTTTCTCTTTCTCTCTACGACGCCCAATTCCCACTAGAGTTACCGATGGACCGGAGCCGAACCGAGAATCCGGTCTACATACGCCAATGGAGCAGCGAATCTGGTGCTACTGCCGGTTCATCCTCTCCGGTGATGTCACCGGTGCGCCACCACCACTCCCGGTCGTCTTCCGCCACTGGCATTTCCAATATTAAGCGGACTCAGAACTTCGCTGCCAAAGCCGCGGCTCAGCGTCTCGCTCAGGTAATGGCTTCTCAGGCAGCCGCCGACAATGACGACGACGACGACGACGAAGATAATGATGACTTAGAGTTCCGATTCGGTGCTCCTCCGCCTATGTCTTTATTAAGGACCCTTAACAACAACAGCAGCAACGGTAACACTACTGTTAGGCCCGCTATCCCGCCGACTAAGATCACAAGATCTCCTTCTCCAGCGGTGAATTCGAGCACTTGATCTCTTATNCAAGGACCCTTAACAACAACAGCAGCAACGGTAACACTACTGTTAGGCCCGCTATCCCGCTGACTAAGATCACAAGATCTCCTTCTCCAGCGGTGAATTCGAGCACTTGATCTCTTATTTTAACTGCATTTTCATTATAATTTTTGTTGTTCTACCCTGAGATGGAGTTTGAATATGATTGTTTATTTTTTATTTTTATGAGATGANATTTAGCAGACACCACTTACTAAGTGGGATAAAATGATTGGAAATTTGTTACATTAAAGCCATGTTTTTTTTGTAAAGGTAGATTAAGCCTTGTTACGTACTCTCGCGTAAAAATTCAATATTCATAATGCTACCATATTTTCTTGATCATTACTATGTCGTTTTAATATTGCAATGGGTGAAGAAGCATTCAGCGGCAGTAGAAACCAACTTTACTCATCATCCACTTACACGACTATACAGCCTAAAATATCCATCTCTCTCCCTCCTCAATCCAAAAAACACATTGCGATTGTTTCTCTCTCCCACTTACTCTTCACACGCAGATCTAGGCCTTCGATATATTCGTTGCGCATTTTCTTTCTCTTTCTCTCTACGACGCCCAATTCCCACTAGAGTTACCGATGGACCGGAGCCGAACCGAGAATCCGGTCTACATACGCCAATGGAGCAGCGAATCTGGTGCTACTGCCGGTTCATCCTCTCCGGTGATGTCACCGGTGCGCCACCACCACTCCCGGTCGTCTTCCGCCACTGGCATTTCCAATATTAAGCGGACTCAGAACTTCGCTGCCAAAGCCGCGGCTCAGCGTCTCGCTCAGGTAATGGCTTCTCAGGCAGCCGCCGACAATGACGACGACGACGACGACGAAGATAATGATGACTTAGAGTTCCGATTCGGTGCTCCTCCGCCTATGTCTTTATTAAGGACCCTTAACAACAACAGCAGCAACGGTAACACTACTGTTAGGCCCGCTATCCCGCCGACTAAGATCACAAGATCTCCTTCTCCAGCGGTGAATTCGAGCACTTGATCTCTTATTTTAACTGCATTTTCATTATAATTTTTGTTGTTCTACCCTGAGATGGAGTTTGAATATGATTGTTTATTTTTTATTTTTATGAGATGATTTTCTTCAGACACTGGTTTCTGAATTTGGTGGTGCATTATGTCTCTAATGCTGTTTTTGAAATGACCTTTAGGAAAATAGTTCATGTTAAGTTTGTTTGGATCAGTAGGAGTTTACTACTTGAGCGAATGTGAGCGAGATCTAGAATTGGAAGTCTGTTGATGGGAAGTATGTTTTCCTATTTTAGCAAATAGAGGATCTATGTCATAACACATAGCGTGAAGTGTTGTTCAATGCTTGATCCTAGTGAGGTATACTATTCTTCTTACTGTGATTTTAAGTTTACTTCCAACTAAATAACCTGGAGCTTAAGATGCAAGAAATGCTTGTATAGGTTACAACTAGTATTGCATGCATGATACATGCTTAGATAAAGAACACGCGTACACTGAATTAGAGCAAGTTTGGATGGTTTCAAATAGAACGCTAACTGGATTTTCTCCTATCCTAATTAGTTAGCTCAGAATATTGTGGAGGACATTCCATCAGTCCGCTCAGCAACAGCTGCAAGGCCATCCATGTCAATTGGCACAGTACCATCATTACCACCTAGCAGAACATCACTGAAGGCTCCAATGTCTATACCACCACTCGATCCTCCTAACAATAGGCAAAGAGAGAAAAAGTAAGAGGAATATGTTATAATCCTTTTTTCTATTTTTCATACCATTAGTTCCCATAAATCTGCATTTAAGCCTTCGTTGTCTTTAGACGTTCAATATGGCAATCTCAGTACAAAATGTGGTACATCTCATTTTCATAAGTGAAACACCATATAAAATATTATTATTGTTCAATAAAGGCCTTTTTTTTTGACATTATATGGCATAGATGTATATGTGGCTGCAATTGTATGCATCTGTGAGCAGTCTGGGCCATTTGTTGAGCTGCCTAGCTTGGCTGTACCAAATAAGTTGCAATGCTGAGTTTGTTTCCTTTTTTTTTTTTTTTGTGTGTGTGTTGATTATGTAGCTGCTGGGAAAGCTCATATATCAATTTTTGTAAACTAATAACTAACGTAAATTGCAGGTTCTCATCAGACCTGGGGCAACTAAACTTGAAAGATACAGGAGAACAGCGAGAGGCTTCTGCACTTCGTGATGAAGTATGTTAATTGCATTCATCCTGTTTATTTCTGTTGTGCCACAGTTAACATCTGCACATACATCTGAGTTTCTATGTTGGAATTTTAAGATGGCGATCTTATGTTTTACTGTGGTTGAATATTGTGTTCTTGTCAAACTAACATCTGCTTATTGTGCAGCTTGATATGCTACAAGAAGAAAATGAGAATATCCTTGAAAAGGTGCGGATATCTTTCTTGCTTTTTCTTGCTGCCCAACACCCCATCTCACTCTAGGTATGTGAATTGTCTACACGTGCTATCCATAGTGTCCACAACTAAGCTTAGAATATGTTGTACAGCTCAGAGTTGCAGAAGAGGGATGTAAGGAAGCAGAAGATAGAGTTCGGGAGCTTGAGAAACAGGTCATTTCTTTATTATTTTGTGCTATGCTGTCCTTGAAGAGTGTACCAGTGTACATTAGTTTCTAAATGAAAGTTTCATATTTGGCTCTTTTTTTCCTGGTTGTCATCTTGGATGTAATTTTTCTGGCCGATGTGAAAAAAGATTGTACAAGAACTTTAATTTTAAAGCAGCTGTATAACTCCATGCTTTTGCATTGATATGATTTTCACACAACGTGGGACGCAAAAGGTCATATGTTTCACGGTCATGGTTAAACAGTGTTGGTGGATTTTCAAAAGGTCATATGGTTCAATTCGAATTCATCACATGGTGGGGCTTTACATGAGTTTCATTGTATTTGTGCAGCATTCATTTATTTTTCCCAACCATATAGTTCCAGTTCAGCACCCCTCCTAGCATCCTCAGTTAACATGGATCAAACTGAATATTGTTTATTTGATGATACGATTATGGTTACTATAATCCACTAAACTCCTAACGATCCACGATCTAGGTACATCGATCCCAAACGGGGTNTATTCATCACATGGTGGGGCTTTACATGAGTTTCATTGTATTTGTGCAACATTCATTTATTTTTCCCAACCATATAGTTGCAGTTCAGCACCCCTCCTAGCATCCTCAGTTAACATGGATCAAACTGAATATTGTTTATTTGATGATACGATTATGGTTACCATAATCCACTAAACTCCTAACGATCCACGATCTAGGTACATCGATCCCAAACGGGGTGGGTTCGCTATCTAGATCACTAAAATGGACGACCCCAAATTATAATACGAACCCTAAATCAATTCGTTTTAGAACATGTAACACAAATATAAAATACATATTAATTGACTACATGTATATAAATTTATAATTATATATTGTTTTAAATAATAGAAAATCATGCACAAGTATAAGATAAACGGTAATTGATTTAGTGTTTATATATGTTCTGTAATATATAATGTTGTATAGTAGTGAAAACGATCGACATAAGAGTTCCAAAATGAATTGCGACCCAAAATATCGTACTAGTTAAGCCTATTCCCCTCGTACCGCGTACCTAGGAAAGTGTTGTACCGTGTACTTGTACGATGTACAAAGCGANTGGTAATTGATTTAGTGTTTATAAATGTTCTGTAATATATAATGTTGAATAGTAGTGAAAACGATCGACATAAGAGTTCCAAAATGAATTGCGACCCAAAATATCGTACTAGTTAAGCCTATTCCCATCGTACCGCGTACCTAGGAAAGTGTTGTACCGTGTACTTGTACGATGTACAAAGCGATCCACAATTCAAGTAACATTGGATACGATAACATTCTTTGAATTTATATTAGGTGATTCCATGAAATTCGTGTGTTGTGTGCGTTTACCAACCATTAGCTTTCTCTTTCAACTTTTCTTGATATGACAACCCTTTTGCTTATTTTCCAGGTAGCTGCTCTTGGAGAAGGAGTATCNACCATGAAATTCGTGTGTTGTGTGCGTTTACCAACCATTAGCTTTCTCTTTCAACTTTTCCTGATATGACAACCCTTTTGCTTATTTTCCAGGTAGCTGCTCTTGGAGAAGGAGTATCTTTGGAAGCTAAATTGTTAAGCAGGTATAATGAAATCAAATTCCTCCATATCTGCCTCTTTGGATATTATCTTCTGCTTATGAGATTTTACTCCNTCTTTGGAAGCTAAATTGTTAAGCAGGTATAATGAAATCAAATTCCTCCATATCTGCCTCTTTGGATATTATCTTCTGCTTATGAGATTTTACTCCATGTTCTGAGTATGATATTTCATGTTATTCATTTTGCAGAAAAGAAGCTGCATTGCGTCAAAGGGAAGTAAGTAGAGAAATTGCAGTTGTTCTTCCTTCTGAGTAAATCCACTTTGGCTTAAAATTTTAGTTGGATGAGCCAGGTCTTGTTCTTAGTCTGTGAATAGGAGAGGAAATTCCCATTTTAGGACTACACTGATTAGCCTTGTCATATTGCGTGATGTTGTTATGTTCCTCCCTTCTGTCATCGAGATGTAATGAAAGTACCATTCATTTAATAGGCTGCACTCAAAGAGGCAAAACAAGCAAAAGATGGGATAGATGAGGAAATGGCATCCCTTCAGTCCAAAGTGAAGGTAAAGTGTGCTGCTATCTTACCATTTTGTGCACTGTGCTGCTACATACTATAAATCAATGATTTGACTTGAATCAGACTGCAAAAGATGAGGCTGCAACTGCTGTAGATCATCTTCGAGGAACTGAATCTGAAGTTAAAGCGCTTCGCTCTATGACACAGAGAATGGTTTTAACTCAGAATGAAATGGTGTGTTACTAGAAAGTTGCATTAAGGTTACTATTATTCTGCTGAGTTAATCATATAGCATATAACCACAATGCAGGAGGAAGTTGTTGTTAAACGATGCTGGCTTGCACGCTACTGGGGTTTAGCTGTACGGCATGGTAATTCACATTTTATGGCTACGTTATTTTAGAGCAGGGATAATGCAATTGTTTTCTCTTTGTACTTTAGATTTTTTGTTTTTCTTTTCATTTAACCTTATCGCAACTGAGGCATATTAAATTGAGTTTAAGTTGCTTATTTTCCCCTTGGTTGTAACTTCACATTAACATGCAGTGATTGTATGAATCAACCTTGCTATTATCCTGTTTTTAATCTAGAGAAACTCAATTAATATTAATAACTTCTAGACTCTAGTTGTGTAGTAATCTAAAGTTATTCTTCACTAATGGAAGAAGATACTTCACGTATTATAACACCANCTCTAGTTGTGTAGTAATCTAAAGTTATTCTTCACTAATGGAAGAAGATACTTCATGTATTATAACACCACTGAAGCTCATAAAATTTGGAATTAAATAGCATACTCATGTCAAGAAGATCCTTCACGTACTCCACAACAGTTGATCCACACATGTTAATTGTTCAGTAACATTTTTCTTTTCACCTTTAGGTATCTGTGCAGATGTTGCTGTGTCAAAGCATGAGTACTGGTCATCTTTAGCACCTCTTCCTTTTGAAGTTGTAATTTCTGCTGGACAAATGGCCAAGGAGGAATGCTGGGAGAAAGGTTGGTGACCACTGCTGAAATTCGATTACAACATCCCTTGTGTTTCCATTGCTGTAAAATTATTGTTATGATTTTTTTGATAAGGCTATTTTCTTTGGATGTTATGTTTCATCAGTTAATTGTGTAGTGATCTTCATATACATCTCTTAGCAGGTGATCACAATCCGGAGAGGAGGAGTAAACTTGTCGAGGACCTGGGTGATCTAACTGGAGATGGGAATATCGAGAGTATGCTTGCAGTTGAAATGGGCTTGAATGAGCTTGCTTCGTTGAAGGTTTCCTATTTTGAACCCAATGATCAAATCTTGTTGCGTTTATTGAAACATCTCTCTTCCAAATCTTCTCAGTTTTCTCTTGTTGAAATTTGATTCTCTCTCTCTCTCTCAGTCCTTCGACTGCAGTTGTGCTTATCATAGTTTGAATTTTCCTTGAAAACTGTATCTATATTTTCCAACATTTGCATTTGACTGTTGCTTTTAAGGTCGAGGAAGCCATCGTGCTTGCATTGGCCCAACAGCGACGTCCAAATTCTGCTCGACAATACATCTCAGGTCATTCTTATATGTGTTGCTGACATGCTTGGGTTGACTTTCAGCCATGCCCACGCCAGTCATTATATTTCACATGTGATTGTTCTCTGTCTACATTGCTAGGTTTTTATGGGAAGGAAGGTTCTTCCACTGTTTACTTAATAAAAAGTAATTTTGTTTAGTCAAAAAATGGTTTGACATTGCTTCTACTAAGAAGCATGAACACGGACACAGAACATTGATATGACAAGATACAAACACGACATTACGGACATGGAACATTGATACGGCAAGATACAAATACGACATTTCTAAAAAAAGCAGGACACAGATACGTTGAGGATACGCAGTAGATAATTGTTTTATATAAATAATTATATAATTTATCACAAATATAATGACGATAATATATTATTTATATAAAAAATTTAGTACTTCATGATAACGAAATGTTATGTCTAGTAATCTAATGTGAATTTTTAAATTAAAATCATAATAGTCAATAATCATTACCAAACATATATAATTTAAATGATTGTCCTCATTTTCTCAATTTCTCTTTTCTAAATCTTTTCTGTATTTTTTTATTTTTGTTATTAAATTTTGAGTGTAACTTTAACATATCTAGTTTTAGTAATTATATGTTCTCTCATAGTATAAAGTACTATTAGTCAAAATTTTAAACTTTGTTAATCATTTGTCAATATATGTTTTTTGTTTAGGAGTGGACACGATCTAAAAAGGTGTCGAGCACGTGTNCTATATTTTCCAACATTTGCATTTGACTGTTGCTTTTAAGGTCGAGGAAGCCATCGTGCTTGCATTGGCCCAACAGCGACGTCCAAATTCTGCTCGACAATACATCTCAGGTCATTCTTATATGTGTTGCTGACATGCTTGGGTTGACTTTCAGCCATGCCCACGCCAGTCATTATATTTCACATGTGATTGTTCTCTGTCTACATTGCTAGGTTTTTATGGGAAGGAAGGTACTTCCACTGTTTACTTAATAAAAAGTAATTTTGTTTAGTCAAAAAATGGTTTGACATTGCTTCTACTAAGAAGCATGAACACGGACACAGAACATTGATATGACAAGATACAAACACGACATTACGGACATGGAACATTGATACGGCAAGATACAAATACGACATTTCTAAAAAAAGCAGGACACAGATACGTTGAGGATACGCAGTAGATAATTGTTTTATATAAATAATTATATAATTTATCACAAATATAATGACGATAATATATTATTTATATAAAAAATTTAGTACTTCATGATAACGAAATGTTATGTCTAGTAATCTAATGTGAATTTTTAAATTAAAATCATAATAGTCAATAATCATTACCAAACATATATAATTTAAATGATTGTCCTCATTTTCTCAATTTCTCTTTTCTAAATCTTTTCTGTATTTTTTTATTTTTGTTATTAAATTTTGAGTGTAACTTTAACATATCTAGTTTTAGTAATTATATGTTCTCTCATAGTATAAAGTACTATTAGTCAAAATTTTAAACTTTGTTAATCATTTGTCAATATATGTTTTTTGTTTAGGAGTGGACACGATCTAAAAAGGTGTCGAGCACGTGTCCAAAATTAAAATTTTATAATTTAATTCGAAGAGTATCGGGCACATGTCTGAAGAAAGTCGGTGTCTAACACGTGTTGGACATGGATAAGTCACATTCTTGAGATTGTCCNCGGGCACATGTCTGAGGAAAGTCGGTGTCTAACACGTGTTGGACATGGATAAGTCACATTCTTGAGATTGTCCTTGGCTTAGTAGGCTGCTATAAAACACGAATATTTCGTTTAGGTCGATGTATGGATACGATATTTGTTGAATACTGAAAAATACGTATCGAATATACATTAGACGTATCCAAAAATTAATAAAATATTATCCAAGATGAATATACTTCAAATGTAGAAATAGATATGAATAGCAATATTTGTAAATTTTAAATTTAATCATTACTATTTCCTATCAAATTCAAATATGATGATGCAAAAAAGAAAATTAGATGGCTTTGAATATAGATTGGTATTTTTTTTAAGTATTATTTACTATCACATATCAAAAAAACATTAAATAGGTTAATTACATTACACCATATCTCTTAGCAACAAGTACTTCTAAGCAAATTAGTTACTTAAATTTTGGTTATGGTTTCTTAAATTAGACACTTTCACTTTGGGGGTATACTATGACAAGACGATCTATGCTTATATATATATGTTTTATTGTAGGCGTATCATAGCTGTATTTGTATCATATTTTTTTATGTTTTACCGTATCGCAGTGTCTTTATTTTATCGCACCCGTATCTCGTAATAAATGTTTACACAAGTTTGCATGTACTTTTGTGTTTCTTCTCAAACTTAGTCCAAGAGATCTCACAGTTAAATGTTTTGCACAGTGAAATAATCTAGTAGTAGGTATGACCTGAAATGAGAATTTTCTAAGCAATTATTGCTTGTCTGCCTTCTATTGATTATAGCAAGAATACGTATCTGAGAAATTTAAATAAAATATGGTGTTATTCTGTAATTTCAAGATGAATGATTCCAATTCTAGAATGTTGAAACAATGGTCACCAGAGTCAGAAATATTGGTCTTTGTATGATATATACATTCTATTAATTCCTATTTTTGTCATTTTAGCCTTTCAACCAAATCCAAAGAGTTGTTGACATTTTACTTTACTAGGTTGAGGCCAGTCTGTTTAGCATTTTCGGGTGCTGTTGTGGCCTTACGTATGCAAATGAAAAGGCCATTGGCCCCAATCTTTGTCTGTCCTGCCAAGGTAGGAAGGTGACTACTGAGAGGGCTAGACTAGATTCGGATATGCAGACCTAATCTTTATGTCTTTCATTTTGACTTTTTGAAGTCTTATATTTTTCGTTATTCTTGCCAATATTGAAAAGTCAATTCCTTATTTATATATGACCTTATATGTACCTTTATGTGTGTAGTGATATAGAGAGATGTCAATCATAAGCTTTGAAATGCTTATCCCTATTGTGTTTCCTTTTATGAGCAGATATCAAGTCTCCCGGTGATCCAAAGTTCATGGATGCATTTGGTAAGTTGCATTTGGTTGTCATTGCAGTTTTTGCTCTAGAGTGACCTTTATAATTCCTCAAACTACAATGGCCTTGTATAATTAAGTTTAATGCTGCATTTGCTTTGGAATTTACATATGTGTGGCTATAGCAGCAACATACGGCAATCATCAAGCAAAGATGCAATTGCAAAGGATAACACTAGTGTTGGGAGGCAAGGAGTCCATTCATCCAAAGCCCAATATACAATGTCTAGAACTCATACACACTTAAGCTTTAGCCTATAAGTGGTGCGCCCGCCCATCCATTGTTTATTAAGACACTTTAACTTATTTTTCTATTGCATGTGGGATTCTCATACATGCAATAATACCCAACAATCTCCCCCTCATATGTGAACCATATTGGGCTTAGCTTTCCTTGAGTTTGATCCACCACTCTCCACAAGCACTATGTCCAATCATTTTTTCAGAAGAGCCTGCCCTTGCAAGAACCAAGCTTTTACCGCTCTTTCCCAAGTCCGCGCCCTACTCTTTTTTTCCGAGTTGCGTTCCTTGACTTCACTACCAATAGCCCATCACTTTTTCTTAAGAGCCATCATTGGTACGGGCACGTTATATCATTTTTTTGAGAGTTCACTCAGAATTGTCAGCCATCGGTTCTGATACCATTTGTTGGGAGATGGGAGTCCATTAATCCAATGCTCAATATACAATTTCTATAACTCATACCCATCTAAAAGCTTAAGCCTATAAGTGGCGAGTCCATCCATTTTATATTAGAGTACTTTTACTTATTTTCTATCCGATGTGGAATTCCCACACATGCAATGCCCAACAACTACAAATGCAATTGCAAAGGATAACACAAAATATCTACATCATTAAAGGTTCATCTTAGGATTTGCAGTGGTCCCAATTTGATTTGTTAATTCCACGTCAAATTAGAAATATTCAGTTGTTAGTCCACACATGTCTGCTTTTTATTTGTTGCCTTCAGTTCTTTCGTAATACACTCAACTCAGTAAGCCTTAAAAGCAACTACTTGGGCTTAGATACATAGGTTCACCTTCTCTAATCAACTTTTAGTATGGCCTCATTCTTGGTTGAACCTACAACAATCTTGTGTTTTCTCATGGCCTCAAGTTGTTTTGCCGTGGTCTCTTTGTTCTTCCTTTTAACTCGGATCATCACAATGGTTTATTTTTTAGTCTGGGTTATGCATTTCCAAATTTTTGCCAGTTTAATTTTCAACAGATCCCCCTTCTAACTTTGATGAAATGCATATTTGCTATCTTTTTTCAGTGGCACCACTCATTCATCTTAACATTCTCATATTCAATACAAACACTTCTTTTAATGTTATGCTGTTTTATTTTTTTCGTTCAACTTTTCTTGCCCTCTTGTTCCTACAATGAATTTGTATGCATAAGCTGCAAGTCTTTCAACATTCTTGGTGTATGCTCCGGCCCCTCAAAAGACCCTCGAGAGCATCTCTAACAAGGTTTTGTATTTTAGCTATCTAAAAGTGCATTTTTTCTATTTTACTTACTCATTTTTTCGATACATACGCTANATCCGGCCCCTCAAAAGACCCCCAAGAGCATCTCTAACAAGGTTTTGTATTTTAACTATCTAAAAGTGCATTTTTTCTATTTTACTTACTCATTTTTTCGATACATACGCTAACAGATTTTCTATATTTTAACTACTACTTTTAAATATTATTTCTCATATCTTTTACCTTTATTGGGACTATTAAAGGGAGAGAGAGAAAAAATGGAGGGAAAGACAGAGAGGATAAGAGATAAGAAATGACAAGATGAGAGAGAATATATTATAAACTATTTACAAANATTGGGACTATTAAAGGGAGAGAGAGAAAAAATGGAGGGAAAGACAGAGTGGATAAGAGATAAGAAATGACAAGATGAGAGAGAATATATTATAAACTATTTACAAATAATGGTACAGTGATACTCTAAATAGAGAGCATTACTATAGCAAAAATGTATTTTACTTAATCTGAACATCTTTTGTTAGAGCATTTTTTTGCCTTCGAATAGCTAAATTTTAGCTATTTTGGAGTTTTACATATTCTGTTGGAGATGCTCTAAGACATNGAGAGCATTACTATAGCAAAAATGTATTTTACTTAATCTGAACATCTTCTGTTAGAGCATTTTTTTGCCTTCGAATAGCTAAATTTTAGCTATTTTGGAGTTTTACATATTCTGTTGGAGATGCTCTAAGACATTTCTAACATTTACCAGTCTTTGAAGGTACCATGTATTACGGAAAGTGAACTGGGATCTCAACACTTACTCCCCCCCCTTTCTTTACCCCTCCCCCAACAAAAAAAATACCCCACTTTTTTATTCTTTTGTGTATTTGCTCTAGTGTTTATGGAGCTTTCCAGATTGCAGCCTTCTCTGTTGATGATTGTTGGTATGACAAACTTCATCTCTTTTTTGCAGAACTGAGCCCAGAGGAGTCTGAGGATGTCCTTTTCAAGGAGGTATGCCATTTCTTTCTATGTACAGTGTTTTTATCCAATTACTGGTTTTATAATTTGTTACTATTTTCTAGTTACCTGCTAGTGTATATCATTAAGTCATAAAATTATTTGTGGTACTTTGTCAGCATTATGTGTCTTAGTTACTCCAAACTCCTTAGATGCATATGGAAACAACTTTACTTTTACCGTGTTATAATCGCAAAACTTGTTATGAATTTCAGCTTACAAGGGAAAAAATAATCTCCACTCTTTGTAGTATCCATACAATGCTGCTTCATTTGATCCTTTCTTGTCAAATATTTAGAGAATTTGTATGCCTTGCCTGGAAGGTTGTGTGGTTAATTTGAAATTCTCTTTTTTTCACGTTTGATTTCTATTTTCTGTCCAAGCCCCATGACTAAAATATTGATGGTTAAGTAATGACAACTCTTAGTCTGGGCAAGTTCAGATTTTGTGTCAGTTTTGCACATGCTGGTTTTGATGTTAAGTATGTATGTAATGTTCTGATGACTTATTTCTTTGCATTTTTTCTTTATTTTTTATTTTGTTGAAAAAGTTTTCTTTATTAAATCCTAACACATTTAATTGCACAGGCGTGGCTTACTTATTTTTGGAGAAGGGCCATAGTTCATGGCATAGAAGATGACATTGCCAAAAGTCGCCTTCAATTTTGGATTAGCCGGAGTGGGCAGTCACCAACTTCACATGATGCTGTTGATGGTAATTTTACTCTATCGAAATCCCTATTCCGTTGAAAAAGTTTCTCGTACAAACAAAATTATTATGGACAACTGGACATTGCTGTATATGATATTAGATTTTAAGTTGACACTGACGGAATCAATGGGATTGGGGATCTACTATATACACGAACAGCTGCTAGCTTGGACCTCCAGCCACTTCCCAAGGGGAGGTTCAAGGCCGCATTATATCAGGCATCTATATCACTTTTGTTAGGAAACCTCTTTAGCCTTTAATTTTTATAATTTTGCTTTCTGCATATCAATATTAGAGACAGAAGATATCGGTTTCCTTGTTAACTGGGAATAATCTTAAAATGATGACAAACTGTTAATGGTCATAACACTATCAATTACAGTTGTTAGGATTCTGATAAATCACATTCCACTGGTGTCATACATTATGATCCTTATTTTATTTATTTGCTTACGCTTCAAACCATCGTCTGTTTATGTGAGTGTATCACATTTTAGTTGAGCAAGGTCTCATGGAGCTGAGGAAACTGGGGATTGAGCAACGTCTCTGGGAAGCATCCCGCAAGGAAATTGACCCGGACTCTTCTATTCCGACTTCTCGTAAATCTGCCATTGTTTAAAAGTTCTGGTTGATAGATTTTTTCCCAGTAAGTGTAAGTTCTGGTTCTTAGATGTTTGATAATCAAATTTATATCAAAAAGAAAAACCTTGTTCCAATTTTTATTTATATATTTGTCTGCTGCCATCTTTGATCGGTCCAGTTTCCCACACGTGATAGTGCAGTCCTGAGAGGTAGGGTGTTTATGTTTATTTCATATATCTGAATGGATGGGACAGGCTAAAAAGCATAGCATTACTCATTCGATTCACGATTTGGTTGATGTAGAGGAAATTGATCATGTAGATCCGAAATCAATGGGCCTTCGCATTGTACTTGAGAAGCGAATTGTATGTATCCTGAAAGAGGTACAGCATTCGGTTTTCTAATCTGTTCTGTCCGTTTGATACTGAATCAGTTNCATTTCTTTCTATGTACAGTGTTTTTATCCAATTACTGGTTTTATAATTTGTTACTATTTTCTAGTTACCTGCAAGTGTATATCATTAAGTCATAAAATTATTTGTGGTGCTTTGTCAGCATTATGTGTCTTAGTTACTCCAAACTCCTTAGATGCATATGGAAACAACTTTACTTTTACCGTGTTATAATCGCAAAACTTGTTATGAATTTCAGCTTACAAGGGAAAAAATAATCTCCACTCTTTGTAGTATCCATACAATGCTGCTTCATTTGATCCTTTCTTGTCAAATATTTAGAGAATTTGTATGCCTTGCCTGGAAGGTTGTGTGGTTAATTTGAAATTCTCTTTTTTTCACGTTTGATTTCTATTTTCTGTCCAAGCCCCACGACTAAAATATTGATGGTTAAGTAATGATAACTCTTAGTCTGGGCAAGTTCAGATTTTGTGTCAGTTTTGCACATGCTGGTTTTGATGTTAAGTATGTATGTAATGTTCTGATGACTTATTTCTTTGCATTTTTTCTTTATTTTTTATTTTGTTGAAAAAGTTTTCTTTATTAAATCCTAACACATTTAATTGCACAGGCGTGGCTTACTTATTTTTGGAGAAGGGCCATAGTTCATGGCATAGAAGATGACATTGCCAAAAGTCGCCTTCAATTTTGGATTAGCCGGAGTGGGCAGTCACCAACTTCACATGATGCTGTTGATGGTAATTTTACTCTATCGAAATCCCTATTCCGTTGAAAAAGTTTCTCGTACAAACAAAATTATTATGGACAACTGGACATTGCTGTATATGATATTAGATTTTAAGTTGACACTGACGGAATCAATGGGATTGGGGATCTACTATATACACGAACAGCTGCTAGCTTGGACCTCCAGCCACTTCCCAAGGGGAGGTTCAAGGCCGCATTATATCAGGCATCTATATCACTTTTGTTAGGAAACCTCTTTAGCCTTTAATTTTTATAATTTTGCTTTCTGCATATCAATATTAGAGACAGAAGATATCGGTTTCCTTGTTAACTGGGAATAATCTTAAAATGATGACAAACTGTTAATGGTCATAACACTATCAATTACAGTTGTTAGGATTCTGATAAATCACATTCCACTGGTGTCATACATTATGATCCTTATTTTATTTATTTGCTTACGCTTCAAACCATCGTCTGTTTATGTGAGTGTATCACATTTTAGTTGAGCAAGGTCTCATGGAGCTGAGGAAACTGGGGATTGAGCAACGTCTCTGGGAAGCATCCCGCAAGGAAATTGACCCGGACTCTTCTATTCCGACTTCTCGTAAATCTGCCATTGTTTAAAAGTTCTGGTTGATAGATTTTTTCCCAGTAAGTGTAAGTTCTNAGAATTGATTTTGATGAGTTGAGAGGAAAGTTTATTTATTCACTTTCTTCATATTTTATTTCTTTATCAAATATAATATTTTATCTATTTTTCCAATTTTTCTTCTTTCTAATTTTTTGTTCTTTTGTTTTTTTTATTCTATCAAACAAAGCATATAGATTTTATTCTTGCTGTTATATCGCAATCATGATTAATCTAGCCATTAACTAAAAAATTGGGTTTCTAATTTTCTACTACAATAATCAGCTTAAAATGGGCTTGGTTGGATGGAATTTGGGTGAGGGGTTGGATCGGTTCGATTGGTTTTATCAAACTAGTCCAAGCACAACCCTTACCTTTAAGTACATGGGATTAAAGATGGATTCAACCTATACCTGTGTGTTTGGTAACTAACATATACACCAGAGGGATCTACAGATTTATCATTATTGTCATTAAGAGTTTTAACACTATTTTACGGGTAGAAAATATGATCTTTTATTTTTTTATTCGATACTTTGCAGAAGAATTTTTCTTAACTTATCCTACCTAATAAAGTGTAGTATTCTTACCTCATTTTTGTCCAAATTAATCGGGTAGGAAGTCGGGTGAACACGTTTTGTAGTTATTAATTTTTGAATCATTTTAACAATTCAATTAAGTAATTTACACCATTTTAACAACACAATAAACCAATAACATTAAAATCTAAAACAATTACAATAAAATACAAGAAAGACCAAGACATAAATATCAATCTATCATAATTATTACACAAATATAATAACAACTATTTTAAGTTTAAAGTATATGAAACACATCAAAAATCGGGTAAGAATGCGAAATATTCATCAAATTTTTGTATTTTTATTCTACCCTACCCTACTCTATCCACATATATATATTTATTTATTTATATGTGTGTGTGTCTATATATATATAATTGTCATCATACATTAGTCATGAAAATGTCAATTTTGCGACTGAGCAAATCCAATCCAATCGAATGTTTGAGTCATTCTTTTTTTGCGTTATCTTGCGAACTTCAAATTTAGTGGGATTTTTTTTATCTTCTCCACTTATGATATCAAACGTCAATATTGATAAAAATTTTTGTAATTCGCATAATCAAAATAAAACTTCTTTTTTTTTTTGTGAAACTTTATTATAGTTTGAAAATTAGTTATACAAAATGTTTTTATAGAATAACATTCAACATACCAGGATATGTAAAACTAGTGTACATTTTAAAAAAATTTGTACCGAATAGACATATCCACNTTATAGAATAACATTCAACATACCAGGATATGTAAAACTAGTGTACATTTTAAAAAAATTTGTACCGAATAGACATATCCACATTATACTTAGGGATAACAATGGATTGAAAAAAAGCGGGTTTCGTTCAAACGTGTCCTGTTTATACTGGGAATGAACTATACGTATTAGACGATAGACATTTATGAGAATACCTGTTTAAATCCACATGGAGATGGACTAAAACTCATTCTCACCCTACCCGGCTAAACTTGTGATGTATATATATATATATATATCACAAACACACAAGCTCCACCGATCCTCTCACCAACTTATATATATATATATTTTGTTATATAATGGGGTTTCATTTTTCTTGCAGAACCATTTATGAGGTTTTATGTTTTTTTTTTCAATTTATTTCTAAAAATTATAGAAATTAATTGTTATGGATAAAGACGGTGGCGGGGCCAAGGATCAAAATTTACTCACGGGGTGGGGATAGGGATTAAAATTTTCCCTGCTACCAGGAGTGGACTGGAGGTGGATGAATATTTTTGAAGCAGGTATGGGGTGGAGACTACTCCCCTAGCCCTAGCCCTTGCCCTTTCCCCTGCCTCGGTTCACTGTCACCCCTAGTTACAACATATCACAAAGCATTATAGTAGGTATATAAAACCCACATATGAAGATGACATCAACCATTAATAACAATCACGTCCACAGGTGCCCGGTGCCCTGAATGGAGAATTGACTTAATTTGACCTAGCACTTGAATTTGATGTCATGTGCCCCCAATCTCCATGTGGGTCAAAAATTTTCGTGAAAATCTCATAATTAGGACAATACTTCACACAAGCACGAGTTGGAAACACGTCATCTTACACAACTCTAATTTTGATTTTAATCAGTTATGTACACACTAATTATTATATGTTTATACATAAAAACCTCAATAAAATCAACCCCTAGGAAAGCCAAATCGGCTGGAGTGATAGGGAAAAGTATTTTTTGATTATCATTTCACCGAAACAATCCTGAAGCCTCCATTTCTTTCATCTTAAAATGTCGTCTCTTCCAACAAGTAATCATGTCCATTGCAAGGCCAAGAGATAGTCGTGGTTCTTGCCTACAATCCCTTACCAATTCCCATAAATGAGAACAATATCCTTCGAGGAAATCACTAGAATTTTCAGTAAGTTTCTCCAACTTCAAGTCCATCAGACAATCCAACAACACGTGTTCCTCATCTTGTGTTAGCCTTACTCGTTGCATCACTAATGTTAACATCAATTACAAAATAAGTGCCAAATGCATAAGTTACTAAACATAATAGGAATTAGTGCATTTAAGTACAACTAATAATCCATACAATTTAATACATAAATTTTGAAAATCGGCAACACAACTTGCTAAACAAATTTTTAGTAATTATCATCTTACATCACCATTTGATTAAAAATTTTTGGCCCAAAACATATGCAAAATATGGCAAATGACGAAACCCAAATTGAGACCCATAACACGGAGCCAAATTCCATTAAATTGAATTTGTTTGGCGTTTGGTTGCCCTCTTCCAAACATTCATGAGGNACCCATAACACGGAGCCAAATTCCATTAAATTGAATTTGTTTGGCGTTTGGTTGCCCTCTTCCAAACATTCATGAGGCATGAAAATGCATTCACGTGCTATTGTGGGCCTTTGTTCCACAACATTATTCGCCTCAGTTGCTTCGTAAGAAGGAAATGCGNGGCATGAAAATGCATTCACGTGCTATTGTGGGCCTTTGTTCCACAACATTATTCGCTTCGATTGTGCGCACTGCATTGAGATCCTAATTCGAGGTTGCCACTACAACGTGTCGGCTAATGGCTTCCTCAGTTGCTTCGTAAGAAGGAAATGCGTTGCACAAAGGGCCAGGTTATCCATTTAACAAGCCCCTGAAATTCTGGCCAATTATCCATAATTCCAATCTGTCTGCCTTTGAAAATTTACATTCCATTTCTTCTTCACTATCATTGTCATTCTTGTCATTACAAGAGCAAGGGCAAAATGACGTGACAAATAAAACAACCATCATGTACCAGCATAACACAAACATTAACTACATAACACACCAGCAACAAAGTTAGCATACACCATTACAACTTAAACGTACAAATAATACTATAGTTTCAAACATACCAAATTGATCCATTATGAAGGAACAACACAAATATTCCTTCCACACAAAAAAAGAAATCAAAAACTTCTCATTGTGGTATGTGTACAAGTAACTACCACCGATTACCATACTACCTATAGAAAAAAAGCATATATTTAGTCGTCTATACTAGATCCATTACCCTAAAGCACACCAATAAGCCACGATGGTCTTTCATTATCAGGCAATCTCATGAATAGATCAACTTTTATGGATCACTAGCAATCTTGTACACTGTCCTATGTCGTTGGTCCATTGTCAAACCATCTATCTTCTCCAACTCATAATTGATTTTACTCCTAGCGTTGGCAACATCTTGCTCATATCCTACCCTATGTGTAATGTCCGAAAGTTGTTTTTCACAATTTGTGACATAATCACCAAGTATGTCGGCAATTTTACTAAGGCTATGTGCAATTCCCTCATATGACTCACCCACCTTCTTCTTTCGCTGCTTCCTACTAGTTGGTGTGTCACCTTGACCAACCCACTTTGTTGTGTGCAAATTTTGGAAAACTCAGTGTCCGCCATGTTCGTATCATTCTCGGTGATGTCCTCACTTCATTGACTGGAAACAGTTGCAGTTACGCCCATGACTATCTCTTCTAAATCTTTTGCATACTCACCTGTTGCTCGGTCCTTTCCAAAAATTATGCTCTAGTCATTGTAGTATCAACTTTTCTTGTGCATATCTTTTGCATTTTTATTTTTTTGGAAAAAAAATCCTTAATTAATGACCATTTTGGATTAAATAGCGTGTTGTCATTTTTTAGCATCTTCGGAGGACTTAATATGGATTGTGTCTACCTTCAAGTACTCACCCAATGGCGTCTCCTTCAACTTTGATCCTATGTTCTGATTCGTTCCACCCAAATCTTGCAGTTCTAAGCATTGTAAAGAGTGTGTGGTTGGTTTTCTTCCAATTTTTTTTTATCTTCGACTCATTGTGCGGAGTGGCACGCAGATCAATTCTGCAAGTGCATAAGATAGAGATTTCTCCTAGTGGTGGAGATATCCAGATCTGAATGCACCATTTTGACATTTCAAAACTTGGTTGCAAATGTCTTTTAGCGTATTTAATAGTATCGTTTCATCAAATGTTGTCCACATTATTCTGGGGACCTTATTAGATTGGGAACTTCCCCTAAATTGTGAGCTTCCAACACTTGCCATTAAACCACTACAAACTACATGTTAGTAAATTTGAAAGTAATGTATGTTAATTACCACAAAAATTTTATGCATACGTGACTAAATATTTTTAAATATAGATAAAACATCCTCCAATACCATAACATCTACCACATTCATTGCCTATTTTAATAATACGACTTCATACATGACAATGCAAAAGGTGTAACCAAAATCATATCAGTCAATGTTATTGGTCACTAAATTCATTCCCCCTAGTACCCCTCCACTCATTATACATGTCATGTGCCAATTGATCTTGCCACGAAGTCCATGCATGAGAAGGCTCAACTATATCGATAATGTTATTTTCATTCAC